TTGGTGTACTCTTCTATACCAGACATCTACTGCAAGAGGATGGTGAACAAAATTCTACGTGGACCAGCACGAATTCTCGAGAAGAGCTCTTTCGATTCGCTAGTACGGAAAGACAATTCGGTAACACGTTTAGTATAAGCCCCAACTTCCAAACTCAAACTTTATAAATTTGCAGAATTAATTAGCAATCTCGTTCTGCTTTCGTATTGCCTCACTTATTTCAATGATGGTACAAAAGCACTGAAAGAACCACTTCCCTTTCTGATTCGTCCGCTTCTTCGGAAAGCTCGAACGTTACAGTCCATATCTCGAAGTCTGATTAGGCGCGTCTATGGAGTTGACGAGGTCGTCGCCGCACTTGATAGAAGCCGTGTGGATAAACTGTTTCTAACATACCGTGCTGGATATCAGCAAAGCAGTTTCGCGAGCGCAACTCTATACCAGAGTGGCGGCCGCCACTTCGAATCCATAGAAACGCCTACATCAAACTGCGGAGATATGAGAGTATATGTACAAGTTGTACACTCGAGATCCGTAAGTTGGGGTAGGCGTGTCACCGGAAGTGACGTGTACTTGATAGAATCTATGTGGATAAGGTGCTTCCAATATATATCGCGAGATATCAGCAAAGCATGCTGGCAGCGACTTACCTACGCAACCTCTATCAAGTCCACGTCACTTCCGGTGACACGCCTACCCCAACTTACGGATCTCGACTGTATATAAGGCCCTGAAGTAAAAATTGCCCCGAAGTTTCTTGACCTTTGAGTCGAAAGTGATAGTCTGCCCGGTCCCACACCCTCACACACATTCATCTTACGGTAAAAATTTTCCCTACGAAAACCATACCAATGGAGCAGCGAATTCAAATCTCCGATCGACATAACCATCTTAGTATGCATTGGAGTTCTTGTTGCCATACCACATCTGGTTTGTGCTCATCGAGATAGCACACAACACGTTGACGAGCGTGTGGTATATGATGTCATACCACTTTCATATGGAGCAAACTAGTTTTCCTTAATTTATTTAGTTCTTCTGTCCCACAAAGGTCGATGTACATTATTGGAGCCGGAAAACAATTTTTCACTACTGATAACGAAAACGCTGAAGGAGTAAAGCCTACTGATGAGAAAATACGAAAAAAAAAGTTGAAGCGGTACGCGCACAACGGCGGTCGTCAACGTGTTAAGGAAGGGAGAGGGAATTTTGTTGTAGAGCACCTAAACTATGTACAACTTGAGTTCACATAAAGCTTTGACCATGAGAGAAGGGTCGTTCACCCTTCCTTAGGATTAGGTAATATCCATTGTTTCACAACTAGTGCTTCATCGTTCTACTCAGCAGCGAGGCCGTGCAGATTCAAAAAAAATCGAAGAAAGAGTGTGGAAATGATCTTCTTCACAATTTATAACGCAGGAACCTCCTTGTGCAGGAATGGGATATCAAAAATCTACCGAACTATTGAATGCTATCATCGCCTCCTCTCCCGTGTCAGAGTCCGCGATCCGCTCTCGCGATTTTCAGCGATTGGTCCTATTTTACATGCGCACGAATCTTTACGGGGTCTGTCGTATCTAGTTATGCGCGGATTTTCGCGAGCAACAAGCTGGCACGACCGCTGGGATCACAGGAGTTGCGAAGTGCCCGATGAATACGTTGCGGACGGTGTTGTTTAATTCCTGCCTGCCGAATTCTTGCTTGCCTCAGGTTTAAAGTTGAAGGACGAAATGTTTGTTGGTGCCTACCTGTTCGCGCAAAATCGCCGAAATCGCGCAAAGGCATCGCGGACTCTGACACCAGCCTTAGGTAAACAGCGCTAAGTATGCACTTTTCTCGAATCAGTTGTTTCTAACGATAATCAGAGGCTGATTAGACTAGTGGATGGACCCAATTTGGCCAGAAGCGAAGGTCAGCGATGGTGGTATGGATAATTTTTTGGGAGCTATGGTTTTTCCTCTGTATTTAATTTGATACAGTGACTAACTGCACATATTGACTGAATTGCAACTTTTTAAGTAAGAGCAATGCAGTACCTGTGGCCCTGGAACGGAGTACTGTGGAAGTGATGCGGTGGTGAGATCGTCAGCCATAGATGAGTGATGATTGCAGGAGTGCCAACGACAGCGCCGACGACTTCCCGGTGGGTCGATCGATTCTCGCCAGCTGCTGGTGCAGGTCAGTTCCCCGCCCCTCTCCGCTCGGACCAATCCGTTCCCTTTGCCGGTAACTTCTCACTAACCGTCTACGGTGGTGTCACCACTTGTCTGTTTGCTATCACTCAACTGATTCATTTACTTACAACCATGCCACAGGTCAGTCTGTTCTGTTCAGTTTAATTGTGTTTCTTTTTTTGCAGTGCGTTAATTCCCATTAATTATCGTTGTGTCTGTATCTTTTTAAAACAATCTGATTAGATCTTGAGCTGTTCAAAGTGCATTACCGGAAAACTTATTAAAATTGCCTATTTTGAGTATACGCCATTGGCCCCGCAAACGATTGAAACATCGGTAGAGTGGAAGATGATTCATGTATCACCAGGGAGGGGGAAGGGGCAGGTCGATGGGCCGACGCGAGGTTTCCAGCGCAGACATTTCGGTTCACGCATCCGTTAGAGTCCGGTTTTTCAGTACATTTCTCCTATAGGAGGTTTCATAGTGAGCTTACGAGTCTCATCCAGTAAGGGGGGACATGTGGTACGGCAGTTCACATCACGAGGAAACTCAAGGGTGTTTTGTAAATTACTTAGCGAGATGGAAAGGGAAAAAAAAAAAAAAAAGAAAAAAAAAAAAAAAAAAATTACGCCGCCACGGCGATTCTCTCTCCTTAAGGGATTGAAAATTTACTATTGGTCGGGGCCTTAGTGTAGTCACCTCACAAGGCTTGTGATGTCGACCTTTATGTCCCTCTTACTGGATGTGACCCAACTTTATGTTATACAACACCACAAAACTATAGCTGTATATGCCAGTTTGCATCCTTATAAGATTCTGATGGAAAATGCGTGCACTGCATATTGTTCCCTCGTTGCTTCAGGAGAGTGTGCGTATCGCTATCCCCTCGCTTGTTACTACAAAGATCCTGGCACAGTTTGGCAAGAATAGCGTTCCTTTTTCTTATCTAGTGCTTGCTATGACGGTTGCTGTGCAATCACAATATGCTATCAGTAGGTTTCTGCGCGTTGTTTGGAGCTCAGGAGTACCTGACAAGGAGACCGCCCTGCGGCGCGGAGCGTTCTCTAAATGAGTCGCACACTACTAAAAATATTCAACATCTGTTCTAGGGAAGAGCAGAAAGAAATTATCGTGTGAGAGAAGTTCTAATAGTAATGTACCAAGCGAACGTGAATGAAGCAGGAGTCCGCCCACAGTGGGTAGGGCGTGTCTTCAAATAGGCGGAGTTTTCCATGAACGCTCATAGCTCGGCTACGAACATCTTCAAATACTGGGGAAAATTTGGTAACATGGCCTGCGAAGGAAGGTCACCTGCCATTGGCAGGTGAGGCGTGAACCGAGGCGGAACCAATTTACAAAATTCGCATAATGGTTCAGAAGCTGCCAGGAGGCCGGCAAAGGGCCAGGGGAGACTAGCGAATAAAGAATTCAAGCCTTAATGGTCGGAGGAGCTAGAACTGGGATTTTGACCGTTGTCCAATATCGTAAACCAGTTGGCGCCGCACGCATTGCGCGCCACAGCACAGGTCTTTGCCGGCGAAATTCAAATTCGACTGTGAATACACACGACATATACTGAATTTATCATGAATTCTCAGCTAAATTCTATCCGCTCCATCATCGACGGCTTTCAACCTCTTTTTCTTCGTCAACCATTATCCTCTTTTTCCGGTCTCCGGACTGCTTCCGGACAATAAATCTCGTGGCAAACTCCGCCTACTTCGGTGCGTGCCCCGCCCACCAATAGCATTTGGCCCCCTTCCTTTCGCCGACCTCTACCCCTTTTTCACCGGTCTCTGGGACCTCTTGGAACCAAATTACGACACTTTTGGCAAACTCCGCCCACTTAGGTGCGTGCTCTACCCACTAATAGCATTTGACCTCCTTTCCTTCGCCGACCTCTACTCCCTTTTTCCCGGCCTCCGGGACTTCTTGGAGCCGAGTTATGAATTTTCGTCGCAAACTCCGCCCACTTTGGTCAAGCCCCACCGATGACAGCTGGCCTCCACTCCTCCACCCACCTCTATCCACCTTTTTCCGGCTCTTTAAGACTTCCCCGGCCCGAATTATGAGGACTTGTAGAAAATGCTGTACACTTCAGAGCGCGCTCCACCCATTGTGGGCAGGCCTCCGCCCACGTCATGTATGCTGGAAACACCTTAGACATTGCTCCCTTACACCAATTGTTTTCTGCTCTGTAGGCTTTCTCCCAACCGAGTTATGAAATTTTTCATAAAGCACTGCTTTTTTGGAGAACGCCCCGCCCACCGGGGGTGGGTCTCCCTAATTCGATGTGACTTACCAATGCACACCTTTACCCACTTTTTGGCCCAGTTTCAAGGTCGTTTTCTAGAGAATTGAAAATCTCGGTCGTCAGTACACTTCATGTCGACGCACGCCACGCCCACTGTGGGCGGGGGCCTCACGCGCATTAGCCTGATGCGATCGGTTTCGCTACTTCGTTGAGACCTTGCCACTCGCTCCCACACTGACACTCGGTCGGCTGACTTGACCAGGATGGCTGTGTGGCGCGAGCGTTAATGTGCGGAGGCATCTTTACAAATGAGATAAACCTAATAGGAGTGAGAGGTTTTTCGTTTTTGGTTGTCAGCTGCTGTTTGACACTACAGCGTGCGGTGCGAGACTCATCGTGAGTATGCTGGGGTTATTGGGTTTCAGAAAATAAAACTCTAGCGACGCTAGCAAAAGCTTTTCTGGTAGTGAAACGAGAAGTACCAATTCGAGCTTGGAGGTGCTAGAACTAAATGTCAGTCTAGGAAAGTTTCGGTCTTGGATGAACAAAAAAAAAACGGTTTACAGAAGGACCCTAGCGCTTTGGCTTTGGGGCAACTATTCAGTATGTTGCACTTACCTGCTTTGAAAGTTGAAGCTGCGGAAAGGTCATTCTTTAGTACACATTCGAGATGGCGATGACATGCGATGGTTGCGCAAACGCAGCACGACGTGTTCTTGGCAAACTCGGAGGTAGGCCTATTTTAGCCGTGAAGTTTATTCTCTCAGTGTAGGTATTTGTTTCATTTCTTAGACAAGGTAACCGTCGACAAGATCGATGTAGGCACAAAGCAAGTGGTGGTCACCACCGACTTACCAGCCAGTGACATATTAGAAGCACTCAAGAAGACTGGCAAGGAAATAAAACAATTATAATGAAAATTGCTCTATTTTGTTATATTATACTTGCCGTTGTGTCTTGTGGGTCTCATGGTTGTGATAATTTATTGTGACAATAGTACTAATTTGTTCTGTATATGTGTGGATGTGGAGTGCACAATGCTTTGTTGAGTTTCATGAGAACAAAACCTAGAGGATTGGATAGAAGCAACCTAACATATCATCTATAATATTTTCTTGGCCACTGTGCTTAATAAAGCTTTTCGACGATCAACTTCAACAAGAGAGGGGTGGCACATACGTGCGGAAGGAACAACGTGAGAATTGGAAGAAAATACAACGGACGGAAAAGTATACATGTTCACGGTTTCTCATCATCAACGTTTATTTTAATTCATTCCATGTTTTGCTTCATATGTTTTACAGCTCTCCTCTTGAGACATAAAGAACTGAAAAAAAGCGAGGTGATATTTAGAATGTGCATAAGAAAGAATCTGCTGCAAAAACTGTGACTTTCAAATTTTGGGCAACTACTTAGAAAATGACGTTGCTGTGTGAGCAGCGCGTGTTCAAATTGCAAATATCAAAGGTAGACAACTGTTGAACCAATTTCTCATTTGACTTAGAGCTACTGCTTCCGACAGTGAATAGCACCCAACAAAAAATCAGCTTCTCCCAATGAAATATGACCCTAATCGTGTGCAGGGTATCATAAAGCCCTATGTACAAGGAAGATAGGAAAAACTTCACACGCGAACAGAAAACAGAAAATTTCGAAATCTACAACCAAGATCAGTGTAAAGTGATTTCATCAATGAACCGAGCTTACGTAATATACGAGCTGGCAAGTCTTTACATTGGACAGTTCTGGACCATCATTACTGTAGCAGAACAAGTTTCCGTTGACCAGGACAACGAACGACAACACGTCCGCCAGAGTCGTGCAACACTTCTGGCACATATTCAAACGGTGGACTGTAATTTTTAAAAGGTTTCGCTTGAAAAATCGTGCTTTTCCTTTACTGGTCAAAACTTGTCAACTCACTTCGGGAACGCTTCCAACCTTTCTTTGGAGGGATATACCATTTCTGAAGTATCTCGCAAATACCATCCATAGTTCCTCTTCTGAGACAAAGGTTATTGAAATGGACCAGAAAACTGTACTGGATAGTGGTGAACAATGGAGTTCAGAAAAAAGTACCGTTGCCTTCTCTTGCTCTATTATGGTACCCTCAGGGAGGTCGGTATATTCTATGGTAGCCAGACAATTTCGATTTGCACATTCAAGAATTCGACGTCCCGTAGCCGCAACGTTCACAACACGAAGGCGACTTGCTTTGCAGAGCCAGCAACGTGACGGCATTTTCTGAAAAAGAACCCATTTAGAGACATTCACTTTACACACAAAAATAGTTAGATCTCTGCTCTCAGGACCAACCCATCACTAACAAAAATAGTTAGATCTCTGCTCTCAGGACCAAACCCATCACTAGATCCTACTTCAATGGCAAATGGAAGGCAGCGGTGGTGAAAGTTGCCGCGGTGAAGAAAAAACTCAGGGAAACAGATCAAAACCTGCAAAGAAGGACCCTTATTTCGCCGTCTTTGTTGGTTTCCGCTCTGGACGAGCTACATCGCTGCTGATGCGTGACACTCTGCTCTGCTTTTCCGCTAAAACGCCTAGTCTTCAACGGCAACAGATAGTGAGCGGGGGAGGGGAAGGCGTCGAGAAGAACAACGAAAGCCTTGCCAGACCGCCATGAGCTTGCCTTTCGCCCGCAGAAGCGCCGCGTTTCGTTTTCCTAAGCCATAAAATTTCTCTATGTTGGGTGCCTTTGCTCTTCTTCATCACACAATTTGGCCGTGTCTGCTGCCTTTAAGATCGTACAGTCCCATTTTACCGCTGCTTCCCCTATGGTTCACACACTATGGATGAATAATGGGTTGAGACATTGGTCGTTGCCACATGAAATATGAAGGAGCTAAAAACAAGAATCCTGAGAAAAAAGATTTAGCAAATTCATGCACATCCAGGGCAAGCGCTTGCAATGATTGAAAGAAGTCTGAGTAATTCGTGGTCACTCGTTTCTATTCGGTTTTCAAGAAAGCTCCTGCCAATATATGGGGCGCAATAAAAATCAGAAATTCTAAAAGAGTTATTTGGGGTCGCGGATAATTGAATTCTACACTTCGAATCTTTCTATTGTTAATCGAATGATAATGTATACAGGATAGGCCAAATTATGATAACCGAGGCATTATACC